TATATATATATATATATATATATATATATATATATATATATATATATATATATATATATATATATATATATATATATATATATATATATTTATATATATATATATATATATATATATATATATATATATATATATATATATATATATATATATATATATATATATATATATATATATATATATATATATATATATATATATATATATATATATATATATATATATATATATATATATATATATATATATATATATATATATATATATATATATATATATATATATATATATATATATATATATATATATATATATATATATATATATATATATATATATATATATATATATATATATATATATATATATATATATATATATATATATATATATATATATATATATATATATATATATATATATATATATATATATATATATATATATATATATATATATATATATATATATATATATATATATATATATATATATATATATATATATATATATATATATATATATATATATATATATATATATATATATATATATATATATATATATATATATATATATATATATATATATATATATATATATATATATATATATATATATATATATATATATATATATATATATATATATATATATATATATATATATATATATATATATATATATATATATATATATATATATATATATATATATATATATATATATATATCAAATTTATTTATTTTTTTATTTTGTTATTATTATTTTTTTATTATTTATTTTGTGTGACCTGAAGTCTTCCTGTTGCTGGATTTAAAACTTGAACCAATCCTTCATGTTCTGGCCATTGTGTATCTGCTGTTTTATTTGATGGTTTTCTAGTTACTCTAGTTTTTTTCTGAAAGTCTTGATAACAACATCGTGGAGTTACACTTTAATTATTTCACCAAATAGGATTGTATAACAATGATTGGTTGTACTCTCTCATTCACTGTGCTCCATAGTTAACTATGACGACACCTGCTAATGTGTAAAGGGTCCTTTGATTTATATTGCGACCACATGAAGGAATTGTGTGGAACTAATATCTTTCACTCCTGCTGTATCTGATATGTGTGTTTGCGTGTGATTTTACAGGGATAATAACTTCATCAAGGACTTTCCTCAGCTGGCGGACGGGCTGATGGTGATTCCTCTGCCGGTGGAGGAGCAGTGTAGAGGAGTGCTGTCAGAGCCACTGCCCAACCTGCAGCTGCTCTCAGGTCAGTCGTACACCACATATGATGGATATCAACCAGATGTTTAATATTAATCAGCATCATCATTTGTGTTGGCGTTACAGGGGATGCCCAGTTCAGTGAAGCCACGGGATATCCCATGATGCAGCAGTGGAGGGTTCGGAGTAACCTGTACAAAGTGAAGCTCAGTGCCATCACATTGTCCACAGGTGTGCATGAAAAACAACTGATAATCCTCCTGCATGTGTGTGTGTGTTCAGAGCAGTTACACTTAGGCCGTACTCACACTAGGTACAGTTGCCTCGAACTGTGCCAAAGCATGCTTGTCCCCCCTCCCGTCTGCCCCGACGGCCCGCACTCACACCACAATCGGGCCTGGGCACGCTTACGTCATCGATGCTGCGCTGTTCAGTGAGAAGCGCGCTCTTACTCAGCAGCACAGTGGAGGTTTCTCTAGTTATATCGTTTCAGTCGTTTGATATGCAGTGACATGCAGTCAAATATTTCGCCAAACAGTCCTTAGGGATGCGGGGACACGTAGTCAGATATTTCACCGAACAGATCCACCAATTTTGGCGCTCATAAACAATCATAAAGCTCTCGTGCTGCAGGAATGAGGAGGTCTGCTGAAGGCGCGCAGCTGACGTGCAGTGAGAGTTTTGCGTATTTAATAAACTACGGCAGTTTGCGTTCACTGAACAGTAAGAATGATTAATAAATCCATATGAAACTGTCCCTTAAAAGTCACGTATCGCTTTTAGTTTCGGGCTTTGCCGCGTTTTGCACTCACACACAAGCGTACCGCGCCAAAGCCCAAGTGAACCGGGCTCAGGCACACCTCTTCCAACCGGGCCAGGGCCGGCCAAGTGAACCGCGCTCAGGCCCACCTCTTCCAACCGGGCCAGGGCCGGCCAAGTGAACCGTGCTTGAGCCCTATTCAGCGCACTCACACTTCTCAAACGATTTGGGAAACGGGCCTGGGCACGGTACGGATGGCATAGTGTGAGTAGGCCCTAAAAAGCCACAAGCCTTAAATGGATCTGTTCAGAGAGATATTTGAAGAAATGCTCATGTGTTTTGTTTAGTTGTACCTATTTATACAATAGGGAAACTATCAGATTGTCAATCATTCATGGAGGTCAAACTTTGAAGTGCATGTGAAGTTTACTTTGAGATTTGCACATTTCATTATATAAATATTTCCCACAAGATGTTGAACAGATTCAGGAATTTCTCACAGTATTTCCTATAATATTTTTTCTTATGGAGAAACTCTTTTTTGGTTTATTTCGGCTAGAATTAAAGCAGTTTTTCATTTTTTTAAAGACATTTTAAGGTCAATATTAATAGCCCCTTTAAGCAATATTTGTTTTCGATAGTCTACAGAACAAACCACTGTTATACAATGACTTGCCTAATTACCCTAACTTTACCCTAATTACTAGGGATGTAACAATATTGTAAATACCGTCATACCGCAATAGCAATTTCTTTCAATAATACCGTGGTTGTGACTCAATAAAATCATAGGTCTTTTGGTGAAAAGTTTGCTTAGGGGAATGGAGCGAATGGAAGGAAGCGGAAACTACAAATTTCATCAGCCCAGGCGTGGCCATCATCCTTTGCGGTCTGTTGTCGCTACAGATCCAGTAATGCAGAAGGGTGTTGCTAGTCGTGGGCAAAGAAAAAGAGCTAAAAATGGTCGAACCTAAAGCGGGTTTTAAATCAGATGTGTGGAAGCATTTCGGTTTCTCTCTGAAAAGAAACAAGAAATAAGAAAAGGTGACAGAAAAAAGGGTATGCAGGCACTGCCAGACTGTGCTGAAATACAAGTCGGGGAATACGACTAACATGATGGGGATTCTTTTAGTCAAGGGGACTGCAGAACACAGCACACTGCTCAGATTGATGCAGACATTGACTTGTACCACCAAGAGACCTCTATCTCACTCATGGCTTGTCCTTTCGAGTGGTGTTTTTTTTTTTTTTTACATGTTTTAATATTTTTTTGTTATTAAAATTAAATAATTTAAGTTCCTGTTTGAATGTCATTGATCTGTTCAGTGTTGAGGTAAGCTGAACATTCTAGCACTTTTTTTGAGTCTCTTCAATAGTTTTGTTTTTCCTTTAAATTATTCAATATATACCGTACCGTGCCATTCATACCGAGGTATTACCGTATCGTGAAATTTTGATACCGTTACATCCCTACTAATTACCCTAGTGAAGCCTTTAAATGTCACGTTAATCCAGTAAAATATTATGTGCTGTCGTCAGTTATTAGAGATGAGTTATTAAAACTATTATGTTTTAAACTGTACTTTTAAAATAACATTGTATAGCTTATCATTGAAAATGAATGAGGGGAACCAAATCTTCAGGAAAAAAAAGGATACAGGAACTATTTCACTGTCAGAGCGGTGAAATGTAGATGTAATAAAGTACATTTCTCTGGACTCTTAAAAGGTCCGCTGACTGGAAAGTAATATTTGACAATAATAAATCAGATCCCCTCTCTCTCTCTCTTTTCTTGTGTGGTGGTGATTTTGCTCAGATTTCTCCAAGGTGTTGAAATCCCTGACGGCGGACAGCACACGGGATGATCTGCTGGCGTTTATCCAGCAATACGGCAGTCATTATATCTCTGAAGCGCTCTACGGATCTGAACTCACCTGCAACATCTACTTCCCCAGCAAGAAGTCCCAGCAGCAGCTCTGGCTCCAGTACCAGAAAGGTAGGAGAATGGAGAGATCGGGGGATCCTCGTAAACAAATAAATAAACTATTTACCTTCCTTGTGCATTTAAGGGTCTAGAAGCAGGGGTGGTCAACCC